ATTAAATTTGACTATAATTAATGTAAAGAGTACTACTTAGTAATGGAATAAAATAATAATTAAACAGAGACAATGATGTAATTTTGCCATACAGTGGAATTTAGATATTTAAGAAACGTAATAAGTTTATAGAAATACTGTATGGTATTTTGAATAGCAAATAGTAACAATAAACTATATTCACAATTAGTTTAAAGATGTTCATACAATTATCTGCTTTAGCCTAGTACAAAAAAAAATAGGGCTATCGTGCTTAAGAAAATATTAATAAATAATATCTAGCAGTTATGATTAGCTTTATTTGTTTTTTCACTATACTAACTATCATCCAAGTTAATATATTCTTGGTTTTCTTCTTGGTCTCCAGAATATACATTTTGTTGACGTTCAACAATGTGTGCACGGTCTCCAATATGATGCCCAATAGCCAACTTCTTAACACCTGTCCTTGAATCACTAACAGCTTTTTTTGTCTCTTTTACCCCTCCTGGACCGGTACGAGTAGAAGTGGAAGCTTTATAAATCTAGGAAATATTTTAAATGAAAACAGATAAACAAAACATATTTTACATAATATTTTATGATTATGAAGTACTTGTGGCTGGCCATTTGGGCCATTTGATGAGTATGACATAAATGTACTGCTACTGCTGCTGAATGATTGGCCTGGGTGATTACCACTGACCATCATATTCATAGAATTATTCATATTATTCATCATGGAACCAAAATTTCCAAACATTCCGCCACCAAATGGCATCATCATRCCATTGGATCCAGACATTGGATCAGGAAATCCTCCAAAAAATGAATTCATCATTTGGTCCATTTGCTGCATTGAATTTCTGAATGAAATAAAATAGATAATAAATTATTTATGAAGATGTATGAAAATATTTTATTAATTTTGAATCATAGAATTGATTAAACAATGATCATAGTAACATAATATTGTAATGCTTTTCATGGAAACTGATCATTTATTTTGTTTTGCTGTTTTTCAATTGATGATAAATGTCTATGCTTAATGACAAGTTGCAATAAAATATATTAATTAATAGTTTACTGAACACTAAAACTAAATGGACCATTTATGTGCTACTGTAACTAATGTTATATGAATTTCTTTATCATTAGGTTACAATAGATTGATTAAATATTTAGTGATTGTTTATGACACACAGCACAAGTCTTTTAAACTTAGTGCTATACAGTATTAGATAAAAATATTTTACAACATGTATATATATGAAACTWAAGAGCAAATTTATAACCTATGTAGTGATATTATTACTAAATAATAGTCAATTATAATTACAGAACCAAATACAATGTAGGTATAGTTTAAAAATTAATACACTGAAAGAATGATTTACAAAATGGTAGTTAAAGTAAATCTTCTATAGTACCACTTTGACTTTCAAGTTGGCCCCATATCCTAATGTTACTATTCTATAGAAACCTACTTCCCCATTTTCCAACAATAAAACAACAATATATCATACAAATAACAAAAAGTATTATCTATAATGCATTATACATACCTGTATGGATTATCGTTTCCAAACATGTCGGTCATCAACGCATTGGGAAACATGTTAGATTCGTTGAAAAAAATCAACTTCTATTTAAAAATTGTCAAGTTGATTGTAGTTTCAAATTGATGCTCCTAACGTTAGTGTATTTTGATTCAGTGTATATGACAAAACGCGAAAAATTTTACAAGTATAATAGATATTCTGAATTCTAGTACGTAACAAGGCTGCTAGATATTATTACGATCACAATACAGAATTCGCAAGCTTAAACCTTTATTGAAAATTAGAAAATGATGGATATCAAGCAGTAATAGAACAATGAACTGAATGAACAGCGATCAGCGATCAGCGAATGACAATGACTAATGAGATAATCAAAACTGAATGGTTTAACTATTTTGATTTTCACTTTTCAGTTCTCCAATAATTAATGTCRCTACCACAACTTACTTTACTTACTAATATGTATATTGTATATTAAATTGGTTGTTGTGGTTGTACACCTTGTACCTCAAAGTAATTTCTAGTAAAATCGAGAACTTTCTTCATATAATCAGTGTGACCACAAATGGGATGCTAAAATAATTTATGATAACCCAAAATAGACAAATAAACAAGATTAAACCACAGTATAGACATGGAACAATCTGGTATAGACACAGAACAATATGGAATTTATAGACCACGGATTTATAGACACTCGATCAGCAGGCTGTGCGGGTTTACGTAGGGACCATAGACCTTATACTAGTATAAGCTGGCGGCATTAACGCCATTAACCACGTCCTGTATCCTGTAATCAAGTAATCTACGTAATCCCGTAACTAAACAGTCCTTTTCAGGATGAAACAATCATTTTTTTATTCTAATGATTAAGTTTTAAGAAGGCGCTACACCCACATGTGTTCTCTGTTTTACAAACGGATGCAGGTGTAGTGCCCTCTTAATGTAATATATTATTTTTTATTTTTATTTTACTTTTTTGTTTCTATTTTCATTGATTAAATAAAATTTATTCTAACAAAATTTATAATTTGTTTGTTCTTTAAACCTAGTATTCTATTCCAAATTCAATATCCTGTTATTACATAAGCCATTAATTAAAGTATTTTAATATTTTTTTCATTAGAGTTTTTAATTAAATACAGGGCCAGCGCTACCTTTTGCGAGGGCCTGTGCAAAACCTATTTAATTTATTTAACCATTAAAGCAATAATTATAGTTATCTATAATTTATAGACTATATGTGTAATTAAAAACGAAAAATTATCAAAAATACAAGTCCAAATAAAACAATTTTATTATTAATTAAATTTAACATATTAAGGAGTTAAGCTCTTCCAAAATGTTGACCCTAGTTACATCTATGATGTTTAATGGTATTAAAAAATACTTTAGCGAAATAGCGATTATCAATTTTCAACTATTTAATGATTACTTTTAAACGTATGTGTAATACGTCAACTTAMATATTATACGAGTAAACAGACAACTTCCAAAAAATATATTAAGGTATACAAAGGTTTTGTAATTTTACCGCACCACGTTACTTTTCAAAATATCATACATATTTAATATAATATTACTTATAATATAAGTAGAATATTATTCTTGTTTTATTTTATTGCAAGATTTCTATACAAAATATATTTAAGCACGAGGCCCTGGAAAAATGCCCCGTTTTGCCTCCCTCTAACGCCGGCCCTGATTAAATAATTTATTTTACATTTTAATGCTAAAAGCTAAAACATTCAAACTTAGTAAAATTACTAAGTATTGTACAAATACTACAAATATCGTTTTGTGCCTTGTGGTAATCAAATAGCAATGTACAGCGGTAATATTGATATGATATATTTAATTGATAACGTATGCCACGCCCTCCCGGAGACCGTGTTCAAGGCATGATTAAAGATATCTTTAATCATGGTTCAAGGCCACAGTCACCCGATTTTGCCAATACACACAGTGTCGTACTCCTGATAATACTKAGGCGTCAAATACAACTCAAATAGTCAAAAAATGTCAATAATATGACAATTTTATTTTTGCCAATGCCAATTCCTATTGCAGTATTGACTATATATGCATTATTGCATTATGCAATGTTGCCATTAATTAGTAATAAGTGTTTTTATTACATGTTCAATAATTTGTAAGCGTAATAAATTGTTAAAATGACCTTTAATATGAAAAAATACAATTTAGATTTTAGTTAACTCTATAAAGGGTTCATACCAAAAGTCACTTATTGTTTAATTATATTGTTTTGTATTGTAATGTTCATATTTTTTATGTATTTAAAGATTAATTATATCAATAATAATAGGTAGTACAAACTACAAATGGTGAGTTTTCCTTTCCCAAGTGCATACTATGTGTTATATATTCAATAATTTATCTTTACATTATKTTAATAACAAATATGTAGAATGAGAATATTAATATACTATGTTTAAAAATTTTCTTTTAAAATGTATCATATAATTTACTTTAATATTTTTTTGGCCAAAAATAAATTAAATTGAAAATAAAAGTTCAATACACTAAAATAATTTAAAATACTAAATATATTATAATGCAGTCTTTTCAATTAATATATTATTCAAAGTATTCAAGATTCTTATTAAATACTTATTCAGCTAGAACTGTACATTTTAATTTTCATGATATGTTTTCCAAAGAAAACTCATTAAAATCTGTGAAATGTTTTAAATCTCTATGTCCTAAGCTGAATATTGATGGTAAACGCCAAGCTGCTGTTCTTATTCCGTTATGCATTGTTAAAGATGAAATATCCTTATTGTATACATTAAGGACCAATAATTTAAAAAGAAATAGTGGTCAAGTATCATTTCCTGGTGGTATGCGTGAAACAGATGAACAACTACAAGATACAGCATTAAGAGAATCTTGTGAAGAACTTGGAATAAGTAAAACCAGTATTGATATTTGGGGAAGTGGTAGATTTATTATTTCTAAAGACATAGCAATTATGCCATTTTTAGGAAATATTGGTGTTATAGAACCAGAGAAATTAAATATTTCCATTGAAGAAGTACAGTATGCATTTGCTGTTCCCTTAAAACATTTTTGTGATCCAGCTAATTGTAAATATACATATTTCAGAAAACCGCCAAATAAATTAATGATGATTCCAGTATACACAAATGAATATAAAAGAATATGGGGAATGACTGCTTATATGACTTGGTTGGTATTAAAATCCATTATACCAGATAAGTTTGATCAAAAACTTTCTTCATAATTATATAGAAGTTGAAAAGTATGATAATTGTTTTATCTTTGATAGTTACCATTTTAAGTCTTATATTATGAGGACGTCATACCCGCTAATGTTTTACTAACACATAACATATCAAATGTATAGCCAGCAGTTCCAATTTCTTCTTATTAATTTTAATACTAGAATGAATTGAATGAATTGGCTAGTTATAACATTTAAATGTAAGAATATTATCTATGTTTTTTCTATGGTTTTTTACAATATTTAAATTTTTAATTTAATTACAAGCATTTTCAAATATTAATATTTTGCATAATCATACAACTCATTTTAAAATTTAAAAAAAACCATAAGGATAATAGTTAATGTTTTTACATTTAAATTTAATAATACGTCAATTCACTCTAATATTTAAGCTAACAACAGAAAATTACTACTGCTGGATACATTTTGATGTGTTATGCAACACTGAAACAGTAATAAAGATACAACACATGCAGTTACGAAATTCTCTTGGTTTAGTATCTAATGAGTAGTGAAAATAATGTATTAAAATATTTTTATAATTTACTATTATATAAAACCCTATTTTTAGTAATGTGAAATAATTACTTGATGTTTGTTGTTAAAATTATGATTAAATGTATAAGTAAGTAAATAAATTGTGATACAAAATTTTAAAATCTATTTGCAATAAATTTATAGTAAATTTTTTCTAAATAAATTCAATTTTATATTTTATATGTTAAGTTAATAATTGTTATGAATGTAATTCTAATAATGAATAATACATTAATACACAATTTATATGCATGTATTTATTTAGTTGTTGTTTTATTTCATAATTGTTATAAACCTAAAATGATGTAAACTATAAAGTAAGCAAAAAGCAAATACATCAAAAAGTTAGAAATCAATAATAATGAGATGACAATATAAGAATTTTTAAATCCCATAGGTCTTTCTTCAAGAAAAAGTAATTATATTAAATGTTTATTATTATTACATTGTAGTGGCTAATGATCAATGTTTGTTTAATTATCTGTAGATAATTATAAGGAATATTTATCAAATTCTAAAAAGGATAATCTATTAATATAATAAAGATTAGTACCTACATACTAAATACAATATAATTATGTATTCACAAGTACCTGCGAATAATATTTTTAAATTACTACAAAATGTCTAAAAAAAAATAACTATTAAATATTTTTCTAGATTTTTGGTTACAGTATGAATTATTCATGAGAATCCATGTAAATAATTATCAATTCTCAAGATTACTTGGGATTGACTTTCCCACGTTTTAGATATTATTCCCTAATTCCTAAAAATGTCATGTGAAAAATTGTATTTTTCGATGTTTGGGGAAGTTAAAATCAATAATGTGGGAGTCAATCAAAATTCTTAAGCTTACGTCAAGAAAAATTCAAATCTGTTTTTATAATTCTTACTATCACTTTACTATATCAAACGATATTGAACACAATACACAAGAACACAACTAAAATAGTAAAATCCTATATTTGTACATCGCATTTCGCATATGTGGTTGTGGACGTTGTCGTTGTGGTATATGGCATGTAATTATTGTTCTGTGGACTGTGATGTTAAACAAAGAGAGAGAATAACTGAATAAAAGTATTGAATAGATAATATATACAATGCGCCTTGTTGGAAAATGCATGTTATGATAACAAGTTCTTGATTTCCAGCACGGTTTAAGATATACCTGCTTGTAATGCTTGTAAGCCCTACAACTTGACCACCAGCATCCTCGAGTAACATAATTGCTTTGATGACTAGCTTTTCCAAATCAATGCCTATTGGAAATAAAATATTGAAATTAAGAAAAAAAATTCAAATAGATGTACATCACCTTTAACTCGTCCTTTCAGTACAAGTCCATGATCAGCTTTATCAGCTTCTTTAAATCTTCTTTAACTTTATCGCCAAAATCTTCAAGACCAGAATATGTAAGGGTTCTACTATTTACAGCTATACTTGATCTTAAAAAAATTTCATCCAAAACAAGTATACCCTTTTTTTGATATTCTGTTTTCATAGAAAATTTCTTTTTAAATAATTTGAAAAAATTAATWTCAAAGCCACAACCAATTTGTACTGCCAATAAGTGTTTTCTTATTGTGTTCACACATGGAAGTGGTATTATGTTTTGTTTTCTTAAAAATTTGTATCTACTTGGTGATCTACATTATTTATAATCAATTAATGGTATCATTAATATTTAATATTGTTTTGAATTAATGAAAATGGTAAATTAGATAAAATGATTTACCTTATTTAGAACAGACACAACATCATCCAATTTTCACTATTCCTACGTCCTTTGGAATTTTTTGTTTTAGCTGCGGCAAAAATGTCTTYAATAAGTTCATCCTGTATATCATTTACACCAAAATTAGCTAATGACTCTTTTTAAGAAGTATCTGAAACATTTTGCATCTGAAGATGTACATCACTTAAAACATTTTTCAACCTTCTTAATTCTTGTATTTTTTTTTTTGTGTTAACTGTAAAATCTTAATGTGCTTTTCCTTTCTCGGAGAGTAATAACTTTCAACTGGTTTATTAGGTATGTTTTAACCTTAATAGCTTTTGCCTCATGGAATAATACAGTTTCTTACACAAATTACAAATACCACTAACAGAAACAAATACATTTATTAAAATCATAAAATGTATAACCACATCCTAAAATTAAATCACATATATAATCAAACTATTGTAGTATACTTTAATTCATTAGATGCAATGTGAATGCCATTCAAATGAAATGAATTGTGCATGCCAAAAACATTCAAGAGTTTCAATATATGGATCTGGACTAAATGTGGATTTAACTTTTTGAAAATCTCTTTTGTTAGTTAAACCAGGGCACACCTTCAAATTTTCAAAAGTAATTAACATATTTTTAAGATCCTCAAAAGTTTTTAATCCATAGATACTCAAAATGTTAGTCATATCAAATAGTTATCCATATAAATGAAAATATATATCAGAATCTGTAATGTAAGAGTATTAAATATTAATACATTCTAAGATAAGTTATACATCATGGTGTTGACGACATTTACAAAATAAAAAGACAAATTATTACCTTCAGAAATAACAAATTGTTTTTCAATTGAGCGACTGTAATGTATACCATATAAACTAAGTTTATAGAAAGAAATTATTTTTTTCTCTCCATTAAAATTAATATCAAAACACCATTTAGATGGAATATTTACTSATGATACATTTTCAAAAATCAATTTAAAAAATGTCATAACTTCATTGGCAAACTGTAATTATATACTGTAATAACGCAAAAATAAAAGAAAAGAAAAAGGAAAAGGTTAAGAGAGAGA